GATAACGCAGGTGTCCTAAGATGAGCTCAACGAGAAGAGAAATCTCGTGTAGAGCAAAAGGGCAAAACTTTTTTTTTTTTTTATTGTGGCCTCCTTTCTGGGTGATCAATGTGACTCCATGGGAGTGAGGCGATGCTCTTCAAGTGATGGTGTGTCGTTCCTCCCTCCGACCCCCCCCCTTCCCCCCCCCCCCCCTGCCCCTCCTTGGGTTTCAGATCAGCCCCTATGTGTATTAAGAAAAGTGTAGACGTCATCATTAATGACCCAGGGCTGATCAGGTAGGATTGCTTGTCGATATTGCCGAGGAAAGAAACGGTAGCCGCTCTGAGGATGTATCTTTGGTGTACGTGCAGTCCAGATGCGGATCATCCTCTTGTCGGTTGGCGGGGACTCGGTATTTCCAATGTATGTATCTTTGGTGTACCCACTGTCCAGATGCAGATCATTATCTTGTCGGTCGAGAGACACCCACTATTTCCAATTACAATTTTCTGCGCGCCGTTGTAGTCATCGCTAATTTACCAATTTTTGAAAATTTTGTTTATAATTCTTTTTTTTATAAGCTTACCACTCTGGCAAATTATTGCTATTCTTAGCGATTTTGTGTTGTCATCTCTAGCTTAGGAAATTTTATTTCCAATCATATCGTAAATGCCGGCCGGCCGGATCGTGGTCGGACTACTTTTTGACGAGCCGTGTTTTTTTTTTTCTTTTTTCTTTTTTTTAATGCATGTCATCTTTGCGCAGAGGCCATGCTAATCTTGTTTATAAAAAACAATAAGAATAAAAAATCCAATTATATCATAAATGCCGGCCGGCCGGATCGTGGTCGTTGGACTACTCTTTGACGAGCCGGGTGTTTTTTTTTTTTTTATGCATGTCATCTTTGCGCAGAGGCCATGCTAATCTTGTTTATTAAAAATATATACATCGTTCCAGTTTTAACGGATCTCCCGCAGGATAGCTAGCCGTTTTTTCTCGAGTTTGTCTATTCTCTTTTGTGCGTCATCGTTTGGACTTTCACTGATCGCGTTTTTTTCCATCGTTTTCTTTTTTCGCCCCCCCGAGAATGATGTCTTATATTGCAAAAAGAACGTGAAAAAAAGAAAAAAGAAAAAAGAAAGGGTGAGATGAGGCCGGGGTCCTCACAGTCTACGGGAGTTATCATCGGGTTGATGATGATGCTATCTGCCGATTTTTCATTGTTGTGTGAATCTGTTTTTTTTTTTAACCAGTCATACTCCTACTCTTTGGGCCTTGTGACACCACTCACCAAATGTACAAAAATGAGAATCTATCTTCCACTAAAACATTAAAAAAAAAAAAACATTAAAAAAAAGCACAGCCATATAATTTTTGTCTTTTGTGCATTTTGGAGTTGTGGAGCGGAGCTCCTCTTCATTGTCATGCAAGGATCTCTGTTCGTTCGTTCTTTTTTCCCCCTAAAGGTTCGTTGTTCGTGTTTTTTTTTTTTTTTTTTTTTTTTTTTTTTTTTTTTTTTTTTTTTTTTTTTTTTTTTTTTTTCCCCTAAAAGTTTTTTTTTTTTTTTTTTTTTTTTTTTTTTTTTTTTTTTTTTAGATTGACGCTCGTTCTTGAGTAGAGCAGTATGCAATTCCGGAACATCAAATCACAGCCGTGTAAATTTATAACAATACGGAAGATAATTTTAATTTCGAAATACTTTTTAAAATTTTAATTAGATTAATTAGCATGACATGATGATGCGCCCTGCGAGCCTCAGCGATGACACGCAAGAATCATTGCTTCTGCCCACAGAAGTTGGCAAAATACATTCGTTGATAAAATTGAATACTGAACGGATGAATCATTTCACTTTCTGAGCGAAGATGCACTCGTTCCATTTTTCGTTTTGTGTCCCGTGCGGCGAGGCCCATATGTGGCTTGTTCCTTTCAGGTTGAGGTATTTTGTTATCGTTATTTTTCTTTTTTTTTTGGTTGCAATGTGTACATGTTTTTTTGTTGACAGCTAACGATCTTTCTTTTCTCGCAATCCCGGGCACAAGCATGTCTATTTATGGGATTTCTTTTCTGTTGACGTCACCAAATTATCCATTTCACGTATGTTATTTCCACCTCTCACTGGCGTGTGAACTGGTTCCGATGCCGCCACGTGTACGTCTTTTTCTTTTCTTTTTTTTTTTATGTTTTTTGCAATGCGTACATGCTGTTTACAGCAGCGAACGATCTTCGTTTCCTGCAATCCCCCGGGGGCTTAAGCGTGTGGTGTATCGATTGATGGGCTTTCGGTTTTTGTTGACGTCACCAACTTATCGATTTCACGTATGTTATTTCCCCCCCCCCCTCTCTCACTGATGCGTGGACTGGATCCAATGCCGCCACGTGTACGTACATGTTGACACGCGTCCCGTTCTGTGATTCGTTGTTGCGCTTGTGTGTTCCCCAAGGAGACCAGTACAAGACTGGGAGGAGGAGGAGGCGAGGGGGGGGGAGGAGGAGGAGGAGGAGCGGCCATGGAGAAAGTCCGGATCTCGAGGAATGGCGACGGGATCCAGACGTTCGATGCTTACCTCATCGGTCCGAAGGGGGCCCCAGGTGCGGTGGTGGTCCAGGAGTGGTGGGGGGTGGATTACGAGATCAAGAATCACGCGTCCACGATAGCCTCTAGGGGGTTCAGAGCTCTCATTCCCGATCTTTATAGGGGTAAATTAGGCCTGGAAGCTGCCGAAGCTCAGCATCTGATGGAAGGGCTGGACTGGAAGGGCGCGGTGGAAGACATTCGAGCAGCGGCTAAGTACCTGAAGTCGGAGGGGAGCCCACGAGTGGGAGTCACCGGCTTCTGCATGGGTGGTGCCCTCACCATCGCCGCTTCTGTGCTCGTTGATGAGGTGGATGCTTGCGTGGCATTCTATGGCGTGCCATCAGACGAGCTTGCGGATCCACGTGGGGCCAAAAAACCTCTTCAAGCGCACTTCGGGGAGGACGATCAGCTTACCGGATTTGCTGACGTGGCAACGGCCAAGGCTCTGGAGGGGAAACTAAGAAAAGCGGGAATTGATTACGAGGTCCACATTTACCCCGGCGTCGGCCATGCCTTTATGAACAGCTCGCCGGAAGCGATCAAGAGGAAGAAGAAGCTGGGCATGGGGGAACACGACCCAGACGCGGCTGACAAAGCTTGGAAAGCGACGCAGAGATGGTTCGACGAGTACCTTCGCGGGTAGAGAGAGAGAGAGAGAGAGAGAGAGAGAGAGAGAGAGAGGGGGGGGGGGGGGGGGGGAGGGTGCGTAGAGAGAGGAGAGTGGGCAGAGGATGCTAGAAAAGATATGAAGGTGGGGGAGAAGAGGGTGGTGTTGAGAAAAAAACGCTTCCATTCTTCAAGTTCTATCAAAATCGATTACTGCAAGAAGTGTATTTTTAGGAGGTGTGCACACACACACACACAGAGAGAGAGAGAGAGAGAGAGAGAGAGAGAGAGAGAGAGAGAGAGAGAGAATGATAGAAAATATAGAAGGAAGGTGAGGGAGAAGAGGGTGGTGTTGAGAAAAAAACGCTTTCATCCTTCCATGTTCCATCTGTTGCAATTTGCAATCGATTACTGCAAGAAGTGTGCACTTTAGGAGGTGCGTCCACACACACACACACACACACACACACACACACAGAGAGAGAGAGAGAGAGAGAGAGAGAGAGANCACACACACACACACACACACACACAGAGAGAGAGAGAGAGAGAGAGAGAGAGAGAGAGAGAGAGAGAGAGAGAGAGAGAGAGAGAGAGAGTGGGAGAGTGAGAGAAAAGATAGAAGGAAGGTGGGAGAGAAGGGGGTGGTTGAGAAAGAAAATGGGTTTAGCCTTCCGAGTTCTGTCTGTTGCAACTTGCACTGGATTACTGGACCAAGTGCAGACTTTAGGAGGTGCGTGGACGTGGACTTCTTTCTTGTATAAATGCATCTGTACATTGAAACGTTCGTTTATAGACTTGTAAGCTGCCCTAAATGTATAAAGAGACAGAGGGAGCAATACTTGGGGTGCTGTTGTATTGTTGTATTGCTCCAATCAGTTGATGATTTTATGTGCCGAATTGGAGAGACGATTGTGAATGAATCCGCCCTGAAAATTGGAATGATACTGAGAACATGAATTTAATTAGGTAGCATAATCCCCCCCTGGGCACTTAACGTGGACAAAAAAAAAAAAAAAGGAAGAAAAGGGAAAAAAACGACATGCATACATATTGAGAAATGGTGCCAACTTTCGCTTTCATTGCGCGCCGTAGAGCATTTTCTCACGAGTAAGTGCGTAACCAGACTAGGGGATTTTCTTGGTCTGAACCTGGCGCTCATTACGGTCCGATGCATCTTGAAAAGCCCGACTGTGAATATGTACCAATGAGGTTGTACGTTTATCGTATGTATTCTTGGTTACGCTCAGGGCATAGTCACACTAGGACTTATTGGACTTAGCTTTGGACGTGATTGCAGTCAGATTCATCCGGGTCTGCCGTAATTGCAGTTAGATACATTTAGAAAAGCCCTAGTGCGAGTATGCCCTCTGATGATTTGTAACCTCTCTCCTCTTTTTCAAAGCATACTCTCGTTAGGACTGCCGTAGATGGATCTGACGGCAATTACGGCTGGCTCGGGATGTATCTGACCGCAATTACGTCCGGAGCTGAGTCGAAAAAGTTCTAGCGTGACTATGCCATTGGAATCCTGAACGAACATAGGATTTCTCATGGGCATGAGTTTTAAGTCAGTGTTTCGTGTTGTGAATTTTTAACTGAACATGGCCGTCATTACCGTCATATGCAGACTTGTGGCAGTGAACTGCATCCTGAACGTGAATTGTCAGTGTTTGCAAGCTGCAAGCTTGCACCAGGGCCGTGATTACAGTCAGATAGAGACAGGGAACTTCTATGTGGATTATGCCCTCTCTGCCTATGGATCTCATGTGACAATATATATACGCAAGCGCTCAACCTGTCATCCACGTGGCTGGCCTTGTACGTAAGAGGTTATGAACAGGTGGAGCTTTCCTTACCTCTTCCCCTTTCCCTTTTTTTCCTTTTCTTTTTTTCTTTCCCTTTTTTTCGCTTCTGCGCTCTGATTCACAATGTGACAATATATACGCAAGAGGTTTTTTTTTTTTTTTTTTTTTTTTGTGTGTGTGTGTGTGTGTGTGTCCGATGGACCACGGATCAGATATTAAACTGATCAGAACAGATACTACACTTGATCTTAGCCAAAAGGCCGAGAACGGTATATACGCAAGAGGTTCTTTTTTTTTTTTTTTTTTTTTTTAAGGCTAATTCTTTAAGCCCAACCAATTCAATTACCTGTCAAATCTGGACAGGACGGCCTTTCAGGCCTTTTTTATTGTCATTATAGTATTACGGGGAACCCCGTAGCAGCCACATCCGTGCTCAAGCCTCCAACGAGGGAACATGCGGGAGCTGCACCCACCAGCAGGTGCGATACCTGCTACAGCAGGTGGGCGATACCGGCCAGGGGTCAACCTGTCTCTTATACACATCTAGATGTGTATAAGAGACAGGTTGAGGGTTCAGCCTCCTGATGAGTCGGTGAGACGATATATATACAGTTTGTCACAGCCCCTCGTTTGTTGTCCTCTTCTCCCTCTCTGCCTACGGTTTACCGGGCAGTTCTGTTTGTGACGATATATATATATATGTGACGATATATATATATGTGACGATATATATATATATTTACCGGGCAGTTCTGTTTGTGACGATATATATACAGTTTGTCACAGCCCCTCGTTTGTTGTCCTCTTCTCCCTCTCTGCCTACGGTTTACCGGGCAGTTCTGTTTGTGACGATATATATATCGTCACAAACAGAACTGCCCGGTAAACCGTAGGCAGAGAGGGAGAAGAGGACAGAACAAAAAAAAAAAGAAAAACGATTCCCCTGCTTTCTGTATTTTTAACGTGGACCATTTCTGGATTTACACGTGGCATCCTTGGTACAGGGGCTATGGCACTATGCTAATCTTCTCTGTGTCGTTGCACTTTTGAGTTTTAATGGATGTCCCCGAGGACAGAACCCCCTTCGTTCGGTTCACATTTGCCCGTAAAATCCCAAGGGCTATGTGAACGTTTGCATATGAAATTCAAGGGCTATATGAACATTTGCATATGAAATTCAAGGGCTATGTCGAATTTGCATATAGAATTCAAGGGCTATGTGAAAATTTGCGTGTAAAATTCAAGGGCTATGTGGGCTATGTGAAAATTTGCCCATAAAATTCAAGGGCTTTCTGAAATTTTGCATATAAAATTCAAGCCCTGCGTGAAATTTTACATATGAAATTCAAGGCCGGAAGTTTACCAACAGGTCCTTTTCTGCCCTCTTGCGGGCAGTGGGGGTACCCAGCTTTTCAGTGGTGGAAATGGGCCTGCTGGTTTTTTTTTTTTTTTTTCCAGCTGTTTTTTCCATCTTCAGGGGGGAATCAGAATGTGTCAGTTTTCCCAAAAAAAAAAAAAAAAAAAAAAAAGAATGTGTCAGATACTGAGATTTTTCTGAGTACGACCCTGTCCATGTTTTTCTACGTGTGTCGAACGAGACCCGTACTACCTTTTTCAAAGGCTTGATCTTTATCCAAACGGGGTGTCTCTAGACTCTCTACCCCATCCGGATGGTAGGCGGGGGGCACACTAGTGTTTCATGCACCCCTACTACCTTTTTTTTTTAAGGCTTCATCTTGATCGAAAGGGGGTGTCTCTACGCTTTGGATGGTCGGTGGGGGGCACAATAGTGTTTCATATTGGGTGGAGGGGTGGGGGAGGGAGGTTCTCTGCTTTGGATGGGAGGTGGGGGGCACAGTTGTGTTTCATATTGGCTTGAGGGGGGGGAGGGAGGGAGGTTCTCCGATTTGTCCTGCAGATTCAATCTCAGGCTAAAGCCGCGAAACAGGAAAGGTTGATTTTTTTTATTTTTATTTTTTTTTCCTTCAATGCAAATCGACAAGTAGGTGGAGTTATTGTACCTGGTGGGCGGTGGAATGCTGCACATATAATTGTTGACGAACCCCCTATTTCCAGTTCATTGGAGAAGAGGAAAATTTGAAGGGGAGGAATCATCAGATTCCCTATTGGATGGTTCTGTTTGCAGAGAATTTTGGCCTTGCTTCACTAGCCAACATTCTGCATGTATCTGGCCTGATATCTGGACCAGATGCACTCGAGTTATCTACAATTCTAACTGCACTTGGACAATCACGCGGTCCAGAAGTAGTTATCAGAATGTTATGCAGTGGAGCAAGGCCCTATTTATGATACATAAAGAGGTTTTTCCCGGACCTGTGTCTCGGTGGGCCCGACAAACGGAATGGAATCATTTTCAGGTGGCTGAACAGTGCATACAGGTATCTTACTATCTGTTGATGGGGCCTGACAAATACAATGAAGTCATTTTCAGGTGACTGAACAGTACATACTACGTACAAGTATCTTTTGATGAACCTAAGGGGCTACCACTCGCTCGCCTCCCCCCCACCCCACCCCCCCCGCCCCCCACCAGGAAAGGTGTAGGAAAAAGAGGCGCCGTAATTTTTGTATTCCCCAATTGGATGGAGTCTGAGTTGTGCACCACTCCCTCCACTCCGAACCTGTTTTTGCCGAGATGGAGGAGAAGCAGCGTGTGGCAAGCTTTGTTGACGCGCTGGCGCGACCTTTTTTCTTTTGTTTTGGCTGGCGCCGCGATCCATTTAGGTCCATCAGCTCTCTGCCTCTGAAGAGTGAGGTGTAGGCTGTAATCCCAAGTTAGTCTTTCCCTCCCTCTGAAAGGTAGTGAGTGGTGGGTTGGGTTTAAACTTTAAAATTTAAATACATAAGCTAGCGCGTTGTTGGTGTGTGCTGGCATGATTTTTTTTGTGCCCGCACTCAGGCACTCATCCCTGGTCCCTGGCTTGGGTGGGAGGCCCTCTGGCCAGGGTTTTGAGGAAGCTTATTTCCTGAAGAACTTCTGAAGACGATGAAGTTTCTGTTCACTAACACTGACAGTCACACTGCATGTGATGATGATGATGAGATGATGATGATGATGATGATGATGGGGGAGTTTCCGTGGAACGGAGAAAGGTGTGCGATCGATGTCCAGCATTTGAGATTATGTTTTGGTCACAAAGATCGCGAAGGTCACAAAGGTCACAAAGCTGCAACTTCAACGTCGGTCAGCTGGGTTCAGAAAGTCGTGAGAGACAGTTTGGTCCGTATCCGGTGTTTGGTCGTCAGAGCATTGTGAGGACCTTTCCCGGGTAGGTTGCGAGGACCATAAAGGACGTCCTTGCGGCTGATGTACCATACCAGTTTTCATGCCATGGGTAAGCAAGGGGTGGTTGGGTGTTTGGTGCCCCCCCCTGACTGAGTGGCCTCCCCTTCCTGAGCTTGAGCTGCACTGAACGTGGTTGTAACTCAAAGGAAATCAAGGAACTACCATGCCGTCTGCTGTTCTGCAACCCCTCCAAAACTCTATTCCAGGCCGCACGTTTTGATGCAAAAAGCTGTTCGACAACCCCTCCAAAGCTCTATTGCAGGCCCCACATTTTCATGCAAAAAGCTGTTCTACAACCCCTGCAATTCTCTATTCCATGCCCTCCATTTTCATGCGAAAATCTGTTCTGCAACCCCCCCTAACCTCTATTCCAGGCCCCCCCTTTTTCATGGAGAAATCTGTTCTGCAACCCCTCCAAACCTCTATTCCACAACCCCTCTTTCACGGAAAAAACTCTTCTGCATCCCTCCCAAATCAGGCCCTACAGTTTCATGCAAAAAACTATCTCAATTTTTTTTAGGGGAAATCAGGCCCTACATTTTCATGCAAAAAACTATCTCAATTTTTTTTAGGCGAAATCAGGCGCTACATTTTCATGCAAAAAACTATCTCAGTTTTTTCTTGGGGAGAGAGAAGGGGTCAAGTGAGGGTGCACGCAAACCAAGATATAGGATACAAAAAGAAAAAGGACAGAAAACCGAATGGCCAAAAGAGGGGCACATCGCTCACAGCCAGTCCTTTCCCACCTACTTTGTTCCGATGCCCCACTCAACATGGCTCTATGCCCCACTCAACATGGCATGAATGAAATTGCAGGACCGA